CGTAAATCCAATAATGATTTCTCAATAATCGCTCCTAATATTGATTATAAAGCTATATCTGCACAAATTTAGTGCGATTTTTTTACTCATATAACTACAAGGAAAGACTAAACTAGCTTCTTTGATAGGATCCCTACGTTTTTGAGGAATACCTATTAGCAACAAAAATTGGCATGCTTCCTAGTTGCACTAGCAATGTGTTCGACTAATTTTAAGGCACTTACTTTCGGAATTTTGTTAACTTCTTTTAAAACCAAGCTGACATCCCTACGTATGAGTATTCTTGGGCGGCCACTGCGAGGTTTATTTTCAGTAGAACCAGTATTTTTATAATTTCTTATTATCGTCTGAACTGTTGATCGAGTCAAATTTACTAGTTTTGATATTTTTACCATAAGGTCTTTTTCATTTCTATGCTTAATAACCAGATTTCGCATATCACTTGAAATTTCTTTTCGTGGACCCATCGTGTCAATTAAATACCACTCACAAAGCACAACTAAGTACATTATATAAATGTATGACTCATGCCACAAGCATGAAATATGAAAAACGGTACTTTCCCGTTTAACATTTAAATTACTGTCGACTAAATGTAACAATCAATGAAGTGTATGTAGACTTTTGTCAATGATTTTTTTAGATTTTTTCGAATAACTTTGTTAATTTATATTAATGAATGAATTTTCTTTTGTTTATTATTATTAAAAAACAGTTCTAAACAAAACTGTATCATTACTTTTTTCTATTATGTCTTTGGATTTACGAACTAGCAGAAATGGGGGGTGTATGTAGAGTTTTGTCGCTGACTGTACATATGTTCTATATTCACTTTAAAAAATGTATATGATTTGATGTTGAACAAAGTTTTATTATTATGGTATTATTATTATAGCATTAATATTATTAACGTATTGGCAAAAAATATTTTCTCAGAAATAATAAGAAAACAGTTGTGTACTTTATTCTAATGCTGGCTAAATGAGTAACAAGAACTAGAAAAATTGAATAGATATTAATGTAGTTATACGATAATCTTGTCATATGATAATGCAGTTTGTTTCGTTAAATACTCTGAAAGATATCTCAGAAGCCTTTAGAATAATAGAAAAATATGTTTGTTTTAATTTTCTCTTCTTCTAAGAGTTCGTTTCCCCTAGTGGAGCATAGGGTCACACCGATTCTGTTAGGTGCTTTTTTGCATATATCCTTCCATCTGTAGAGCGCTTCTATTATTTCTCTTTCAATTGTCCTTCTACAAGTTAAAGCCGGTGCACCAGCGCGTCTGCTACCTTGTGGGTTTCACGTCAAAGCTTGTCGTGGAATGTATTTCTTTGGTCTTCGGATAGTATGCCATATCCAATTTCATTTTCGCATTTTTATTTAGTTTACAGCAGCTTTCCAATTTGTTTGGAGCAAAAGTTCTGCATTAGATAAATGGTTATGCCACCATTTTTGTAGGATTTTTCGCTGGCATTAATTTAAAAAATGTTTGTATGTTGTTCAATCATGAACATAAATTTATAAATATTTAATTATTTTATATATTATATTATTTTAGTTTATTATTATTGCTTAAAACCTTATCACCTAAATTCCCAGAATAATGTACAAGGGTAAAAATACATTATATTAATATAGTAAGCATTGTAACATTTGAGCATCCGTATCTAATTATAACAATAAATATATTTATAGAAACAATAGGAGGAAAATCCCTAGTGTTGGGACTTCCGTCCTTTTTTAACCTTTTTTTACAAACAATAACAAAATGTAATACAGTCCATTAAAATAATAACCTTGATGTAAAATTAATCTTAAGATATTTTTGTATAAATACAGAACGTTGTTTTAAATAATATCAGTAATTTACAAATACTCAAACGGTTCAGTTGTTTTAATTCTGAACATATGTTATTTTCTATCTTTTTTAAATGCTTCCATGTTTCGCAGCCATAATAAAGGCAACTTCTGCTAAGTTTCCGCGATTTCTAAATATCCCGCAATTGTCCAAATACTGCTTGCGCCTTCTTAATGCATGTTACAACGTCCTCGTCTGCTCCGGTTTTTTTGTCTACACACTTTCCAAATACGTAAAAGAACTTACATATAACATCTCCTCATCGCTTGCTTGCAGGCGAGCGTTTTGTTCCACGCCATAACCATCATACATACCTTTGATTTTGCTTGCATACTTTTTTATACTTGTGCTCTGTTGGACTTTATCCGAGGTACTTTCAGACATCAATGTTTTATTTTTGTTACTAGTGTTCCCTAGTATTTCTGTGCTACATTCTATGTACATGCTTGAACCCGCCTTACCCATGTCGTTTATGGGTAATGTGGGTAAAAGTGGCGACCCTTGAGGTACACCTGCTTCTATTGTTCCTGCGGACGAAAGAGTGCTGTTAATTTTAGTTCGGAAGGACCTTTCTTGCAGGAAGCTACCTATGATATCAATCAGCCCGCTTGGGATCCCAAAATGGGCCTTTTTGACTATGAGGCCATCATGCCAGACCTTGTCAAAGGCTTTGGGTATGTCAAGTATTATCATCGCGGTTGATTCCCGGGTTTGTATCAGCTTCGATGTTCTGGCTAGTTGTAGTTCCGTGGAGAGATCATCCCTAAACCCGAATTCACCACTGTTTTAGCATACTGTTTTTAGCATAGTCAGGATTACTCGTTCTGCCATCTTCCCCAGATTTGGGAGCAGGCTGATGAGAAGCCAGTTCTGCGGAAATAAGGGATTCTTGTCCGGTTTAGCAAATACTACAACCGAGGCCATCTGCCAGGCCTTTGGGAACTTGCCTAGCCTAAACATGCAGTTGATGATGTTAACGATGCATTGGATGGCGTCTTCTGGGAGATTACGCAAGCATTTGTTGCTGATATTATCATGACTGGGTGCGGATCTGATCTTAAGACTCGATATGATACAGTTAATCTCATCGCTAGAGCACGGTGAGATGCTTTCATCAGGGACCTGGTTCCTAAGATTATCAGCCTCTTCCTTAATAATTTCTTCCTCCTGAGTGTCATAGTCACTATCAGTATTGGCTTGAAATTGCAGCTCCAGAGACTCCGCAAAAGCCTCGGCTTTGGCTATGTCTGTGAGAGCCATGCCGGACGCTCTAAGAATAAGCGGCACTGTCGGTTTACGTTTAAGCCTTAAGTACTTATTCAAAGCCTAGAAGATTTTGTCACCTGTATCTATTCCTGACAGAAATTCGCACCATTTTTTATTACTGTGGTAGCTAATTTTTTTCCTAATTTCATTGGAGAGGCGATTGGCTTCTCTTCTGCTCATCGGGTCTCCAGTTATTTGGGCAAATTTTCGAATCGCATTTCGTCGCCTGATGATTTGTTTGATGTACTGCGGCAGGTAGAAGTAAGTACTTGGTTTTCTAATTTTGATGGTGGAGCTATTATTTAAGGCCTTCTTAATCTTGACTGTGAGGTTCTGGATGTAGACGTCAAGGTCCTCAGTAGTTTCTGGACAAGTGTTTATACTTGCAGTTTAGTTAAAGTTTAGTGTGGGGCAGGGATAAGCCCCCCAGCCACAAAAGCGTAAAAGTGCGTAATAGTACTAACTCAAGAAACTACTACAACAACAACACCAAAAATATTTGTATGCTATTTTAATATTGTTCTAATACTATAATAAGTAAACTCATAATAAGTAAAATATTTAAAATAAGTTTTTAACAAATTATTTATGTTTATATACAGGGTTATGCGATTAAAGTGTAACCAACTACACACGGATGTATCTGTCAAACTGATATTGCCAACTACGTGAAATTCACACGAATGACAGCTGTATATTGTTTATAAGCTATCTCAAACATTTGCGTCTAAATTTTATAGAACAAAAGTTATTCGAAATGAAATTCAAACATAATAGTGTATATTTGGCTGGAAAATCACAATCACAATCAGCTCACGAATAATACATGAGCTCAAACATCTTAAAGTGAATAAAATGTTTTTGTGTCGTACCATAAATCGTTGCAATAGTACAAGCAGCGTTGCCAGTGGTCAAACACTATGGTGGTGGACGAAAAAAAAACCATCACCCTGAAATAATTTGGAAAGTGAAGGCTCGACTTAAACGAAATCCACGTCGTAGTGATAATTAAATGGCCAAAGAACTGAAAAAATACCAGCGAAGCATCCGACGCCTTTTTTAAAATAAGCGTAAGTTAAAGCTTTACAGGTTCTAAAAGGTTTGGAGGCAAGATCTTACACCAAAGCAACAAATAGTTAAACTCGAAGAAGCAAAGGAGTTGTTATACTTGCACAAACGTGGTGGATTTCCAAACATTGTGTTCTCTGATGAGAAAATTATCCCCACTGAGCAGTTTATAAACTTTCAAAATGATCGTGATTACTTAACTGAACGCACTGCCGTTCACTACCGAAAACTTGAAACTATGAATGGCTACTCGAACTAATTTTCCTTTTCCATTTCAAGTAGCTCTGACCGCCGATGGACGTTATCCAATTGTTTTCATCGAGCCTGTTGTTAAAGTCAATGCCATTTATTACCGGGAAAATATTTTGGAAGTTACTTTAGAGCCGTGATCACACAAACATTCCGAACCATTTTGGAACCATTTTGGTGAGGACTAAAAGACCATTTTCAAGGGAAAAGGTCTTTACAGGGAGCTGGAGTGAATAGATACTGAAACAGTTCAATCGCCCAACCCTGTATATATATGTATACATATTTATATATATAATTTATAAATAGAACCATTGTTAATATATTCGGAGAAGTTGAAATTTATTTTTAATAAAATAAGTACAATTAAAAAATAAATAATTTGCTAGAATTTCTATCTGCAAATAAAAATTTTTGCCATGTGTTATGACATAAGGAGCTACAAAATATATGTATGTTTTTATATAAATATTTATTTAAGTTATTTACGTAAACATTTGAAATATTTTTTCTACAAAATTTTATATAAATATGATTTCTAATGTAGTTTTAATGCGAGTCAGTCCGAAACAGCCAGGTTTAAAGAAGCTTCAGTATGAGAATTTATTTCCTTATATTACTAATAAGCTTGAGTGCTAAATATATCGCAGGTAAATTGAAGCATGTACATTATTTATACTGAATAAGTTTCATATGAATTCTCTATTTATTCATATAGCTAATGACGAGTCACCACGTTTTGTAAATGAAGTGTCAGAGGAGTTTGTGCCGAAACGTCACGTAAGACCAGCAATCCAAATTTTACCTGTAGAGCGACGATATATAAAATATAATCCATTTGTTGTACCCAATTCTTCAGTTGAAGATAAAATTGATGTAGTTGCCGATGGCAAAGCTAAATCTTCGGATGTTGCAGAAGAGCGACCGCGCATAAGATATATTAGAGGCCGCATTCCTAGGCGTTATATACATGTTAAGCCTTTACTTGTTGATAATGTTGAAAATGCTGCACTCGTTAAACGTATCAGTGCTGATCTTTCACAAAACTTACCTTGTACAAGACCACAAGGAAAATAACCATGTATCCATTTCATAACTCACACAATAAATACTGAAGTGTTTAATTCAGTATTAAACAGTTTAAAGATTGAAAAACTTTAAATTGAAGAAACATTGAATTATTTTAAAAAATAAAACTAATTGAAACTAATTATCGATATTTTCTGTTTTAAATACATCTAACATAATTATGTATATTCGCAAGAGTTTATCATAAAGAAATCGAATACAAATCGATTTGTAATTTTGTTCTGGCAAAGTTAAGGTCTTTCTGTGGACCGATCTGACTGATTTGGCAAATATATAAAGTTGTTTGACAATATCAATAAATAAACAGACAGAATAAGTATCAGAAATGACACTCACGGGCTGGCGATATTATAATTATAATTATAATATAATTATTATTATAATTCCAATATTCAATCATTTATTTCTATTGGTATTTTTTATTAGCATTTTTATTAGTATTTTTATTAATATTTTTTTTAGTATATTTGTTATCAGTATATTTTATTAGTATATTATTAATTAATATTTTATTATATTTTTTATCAATATATTATTATTATTATAATTTATGTATTCCATTATTGGGTTATATTTTGATCATTTTTAAATAACTGGTTATGACTGTTATTTAAAACACGTCGAACATAAACTGACGTGTTTGGGTTTTATTGCATTCACTCTGATAAGCCTAGGTAGTACCTAGGCGAAACGCGTTAGTGGAAACTAGTGGAGATTGATAGTGTCTATATTTTGAAGCTAAAATAAATACGGACGTACGTGGACGAGTAAGAAGGATTTTATTTTATATAACTTATTTTGTTATTAATTTGATTTCGTTATTTATTTTATTAGATTATTTTATTTTATTTTTATTTTAATAATTGGTACGGCTAGGTATTATGCCTTCCGGGTAAAAATTTCCGGTGACTAGCCTTCAATGTATCCTGGTATTGTAATGTGGAAATACACTGAGGGCATAAGTTTGTGACCATCAAAATGGTTATAAGGCCATGACGGTGACAAATGTTTATAGCATATAGCATTATTTCATATATAGTAATTATATGAGGGTATTGAGGTTTCTGCAGTACCGAAATTAATGCTTTTATTTACGAGTTTCAATGTAGAACGTTTTTTGAATCATATTATGAACTGTAATTTTATTAACTTGAACTTGAGCTCGACCAGTTGAAGAACCTTATGTCATAATTGGACAAATTTTAACAAATAACTATTAATTTTATCATCTAAATGCTTAAAATAAGCATATAATTTAAAGAAATGTAATCATTAATGAAATTAAGAAATTTTAAAATATTCATTTGAAAATTATCTTTTTAATTTTATTATTAATTTTTTATTTAACTACGAATAAGCACTTAACGTGCATATGAATTAATGTACTATTAACATTTGTTAAACTCGAATTAACTTGCGCTCCCTGATTAAAGATACGCTTATGTTATTGCAGACCCCACCAACGAGCTAAAACTGCTAAATAAAAAATTTACTAATAATACCGGTACAGACTTATAACAAATTTCCATAAGCTATGTACTAAACTGTACTAATAGATTATAATACGTGCAAAGTAAGTGTTAAACAACCCAACTTAATGACCCAGTACAGTATACAAAACCCTAAGGGTACGGCTCTACAAAATCATACTGCACATTAAGTACAGTTTGTGTCTCATGCAAAAAGTTTTACCAGAATTTAAAATGTGAAAGAAAGACTACAAATAGTCCAAACCTGAAAAATTCTAATAATTGTGAAGGGATTCATACCTAAAACTCTAGGAGCTAACCTTTGAACAAGTACTCATACACAGGTTAGCTCAGCAAAAGCAAATATAACGTAATCGAACCAAAACAATTTATACTCCGGTAGAACCTATTGTTCCATCTTTTGTTCCAATTCCAATTAATTCTGATATGTTTACCGTTCATGTTGTCAAATCCGTTCTTACAGAAAGAATTTACGAATAATATGTAGCTGAGAAGTTAATCACAACTCTAACCTAAAATATAACCCAGGTAATGTGTACTATGCATATCATAATAAATGAAGTGTTTAAAACACAAAGCCAAGTTATTCCAATTATTACGGCCAAAAAAGCAAACTTTGGAATTTTATGATTGCAATGTAAATGGTGTAAACCTACATTAATTACAATTAATTATTCAATTATACATCCTAATACGAGGCTGCTTTAACGATTCTCGAAAACACACATCTGACATACATAATAAATATATCTTCATTTCTTACTATACGCTCTACTCTGTGTATGTAGATGCTCTAAGTCTATATACAGAGTCTGTACTATAGGCTATTTCAATTTGCCTGAATATCAACGGGTAAACCTTGCTTTATTGTAGCTAAAGTCTAGTTCAAAAAATTATTTTCGGTCCTTAAAGACAAATTTCTCGCCGTTGGTGATTATAATGCGAAAAGTACATTTGGTGCTCAAATTTATTATTATTATTTGTTCGCTACATTTTTATTAATAAATGTCCAGAGGTTTAACAAAAGATTTAAAATGAAATTATCATCAGTTATCAGGGTTTTCCAGCATTTCCTTCACTGTAATACAACGAATTTTTATTTTCTTTAATTTTTTTTCCTCTGTTAGTTAGTATGCCATGCAGTTTAGAGTTTTATTTTATTATCCTATATTTATACGGTCTCTGTCACAATACATATTGCATTTATTTGTAATATGAATTATATATTTTATACTGTTTTACACAGAATTGTTTATATTGAATTGACTCTTTTATATGACTTAATATCAATTTATTTTAAACCCCTAATTAAGCCCCTGAACATTTTTTCACTCTAATAAAAACCCTGAAAATCAAAAAAATTATTTAGTCTCTCTGTCATAATACGTTGTATATCTCAATAAGAATTTAATAAGAATTATTAACTATATCTTATATTATTTTTTACAGAATTTTTTATATTGAGTTTAATAATGGCTTTTAATTGATTTGAATAAATTTGTTTTCAACCCCTAGTAAAACCCGTAAGCATTTTCTCACCTTATTAAAAACCTGGAAAATTTATAAATCCTATATTAAAAGATAAACGTCTAAAGGCCTTTGTTTTTGTAAGTATATCGTAAAGGAACAAAATAAGCATAAAATAAGCATTACTTTTGATGATAACTCTGGAAGAAGTGGAAATTTTGTTAGGCTTATATATGCAAAACAAGTAATATGGATAAAATTATTTTATTTTTTACATGATTGTGAATAAAATTTGTATTTTCAGGCTTTTTCAATAGGCGTTTTCGGTAGCTCGCAAGTATGGTAAAAAACAGCGAGTTACTGGCCTATACTGGCTGAAATGTACGCAAAACAGTAACACTATTTTTTCTTTTTAGGTATGTAGTTGTTTACTGGTCAAACACTTCGGCTAGTAAAGAAAAAGTGTTACCAACGCAATAAACGAACTATAGTGAACCTTCATTGGAAATTCCAATGAATATTGCAATCATATGTCAAAAATCATATATAAAAAAAAATACAAATAAAATTTATAAATTTCATATATTTGAAAATTGGGAAAAAAAGTAAAATTTCAGTTTTATTCTGAAATTTCCAACAATCTTACCATTCCTTTTAATTCTGTATTAATGCCAGTGAAGCCAACTCTTAACACTGATCCATCGTGACTGGTTTTTGGAAGAAAATGGAAACTTCCAGTCAGCTGTTTATTATATGTAATTGTTGCGAGTGAATAAGTAAATTTAAATATTTTACAGAAGTAATTTTTTTAATAAAATTTGTGAAAATGACGGAAAGGTTACTAGTTGTTAAGAAATCAGTCGTTAATTATTTATTAAGGAATATATTATTTCTGTATTATGTTAATTAAAAAAAGCAGACATACCGAAACTCAAGCCTTCTATGCTATCGCTCTATGCTGACGACACTTGTATTGTGTACTCAGACAAAATAGCCTGCAATGTCTCCAACACCATACAGGGTCACATTGACGTGCTTTTTCAGTATTTTAAAAAGTGGAAAATAAAATTGAACGCAGAAAAGACTCGGGCAATTTTCATTAAAGGTAGAAGAACAAAAAATAGAATGGGCCGATACTCTCAAATACCTAAGCATAACCTTTGATAACAAGCACTCCTGGAAAGCACATTTCAAGTCCAAACGAGCTCAAGCTGCCCGTATATTACACTCCCTTCACCCGCTCATCAGCAGCAAAAAGCTAAATATAAAGAATAGAGTTAGCATATTTAAGCAGATTATTAAACCTGGACTACTTTATGGCAGTATTGCGTTTTGCCAAGCGCCAAACTCAACTTTAAAAATTCTTCAAAGAGGGCAAAATATTGCCTTAAGAAAACTGGTTAACGCCCCATGGTACGTAAGAGGAACGGATATCCACAGAGATCTGAGAGTCGATTCAGTCGAAAACAGTGGCGTAACTACAGGGAAGCAACTGGAAGCAACGCTTTCGGGCCCCCGAATTTAGGGGGCCCCACTATAAATTTTTGTATTCATTGTATTTCTTTTTAATAAATTTTCAAAAGTGGGACGAAACGTTTTTTGTTGGAATAACTTCATATTGCATTTTATAAAAGATACGTAAATTTTAAATTTAAAGTACATAATATGTACATATGTACTTCAAATAAAATATTAAACCCATTTATGAAATAAAAAAGTTTTTCTAAGAAAAATATGTGTCTTGATCGAGAGTTTATATGGAAGCTATATCTAAATTTAAACCCATTTGAAAATAATTTTGTACGTTGTCTTTTGCAAACATCAGTACTGTATACACCATTAGGGTGCCATTAAGGTATATGGGCAATTTTTTTTTCGTAAAATCGGTTGACGGCACCCCCCAGATCGGTTCATTTTACTAAAAAAATAATCTGTGTAAAATTTTAGTTCAATTGGATAAGTGGAAATGGTGCCCCAAGAGCCTCATTGATTGCTTATATCTCCGACATATTTAATTTTACATAAAAACTGTCTTCCTAAAAGTTATAGATCTATTAAAAATAAACAATTTACTCATACAAAGTTTTTCTGTATTTCTAATAGTTATTGAATAAAACAAAAAATAAGTTGAAGTCACCTGATTGCTAGCTTTGAAAGTACTATGAATGTAATTCTCCGCTTCAGCTTTACAAAAAATTTAATATTTCTAAAAAATTTAAAATAAATTCAATATTTCCAAAATTTAATCTTTCTAATAATAAAAAAGTACTAATTCTAGGTTTGTCCGACATAATTTTTATTATTTTATTTACTTTGCTGGAGCAAAGTATCCTTATTACAACTTGGAAAACGACGGCGATAATCGTTATTTCAGTTCAGTTATTTTTGCGCGATCTATTGATACTGACTTCGTTGTCATCTCTATCTATATTCAAATTTGAAACCATCTTTTTCTTTGTCTCAGGTGATATATTTAAATCCAAAAAAGCAAAATGAACAAGCTTTGAGCGTAAATACCAAATACAAATTTTTGATATTGACTGAGAATAGAAAGAAGATTAAAATCTTGAAAATGAGCTTTGACTGATGACAAAGCATTAAACCATACTTCGACATACACTTTAGTAATAAATATACATATATCGCAAAGAGCATTTTCTTCTTCTGTAGATAATTTGAACTCTTTCCTAAATAAAAATATTTTTAATACATGCATAACTTTCACCATCCATCTTGCATGATGTATAGCTCCAGGAGGTCGAAACTTTATGGTACAGTTCGGCTTTTCTCCTAAAAACATTAATGCAAGTTCCAGAAGTTCCCTATAATCATCTCTTGGTTGGTTATCCTTACGAATCTTATAAAGGAAACTTGTAATTCGTACCACATCATCCTTATTTAACGATTTTCTTACTTTTTCATTTTCTAAGCCGACTGTAAAGTTATCAACGTTTATTTTCGGGCAAAACTTCTGAAATCGTTGAAATAGTTCAACATTTGGGCTTTCAGACTTGTACACTTTTTAATGTAATCACTTTGAATTAAAATTCACTTCGCATTCCAATGAATAATACAGAAACTCACTTATGTATATAACTATACAAGTATTGGACTTATTTTGTAAGAAATTTAGTAGACAATTCATTCATTGAACTTACCTAAATTTAATATGGGGATTTCAGCTTGTATTTGCTTTTATTCAATAACTATTAGAAATACAGAAAAACTTTGTATGAGTGAATTGTTTACTTTAAATAGATCTATAACTTTTAGGAAGACAGTTTTTATGTATAATTAAATATGTCGGAGATATAAGCAATCAAAGATGCATTTTATGGAAAAAATTGTTATTTTCCAATCTTTGAGGCTCTTGGGGCACCATTTCCACTTATCCAATTGAACTAAAATTTTACACAGATTATTTTTTTAGTAAAATGAACCGATCTGGGGGTGCCGCGGTCAATTTTCCGACTTTCGAAAATTAATGGCACCCTAATACACCATATTCCATTTGAATACCTTTATTAAAAACGGAGAAACCTTATATCCGATTGTTAAGTTTATATCACAGCTACAAGAAATAGACGTCCAATTTCAATCAAATCAAATGGTGAACAGGGTGCGCTCCCGAAAAGTATGTGTATAAAGTTTTATTCGAAGAGTTCAAAAGCTGAGAGAGTAGTTTGAACTGTAAAAGTATACTGATATATACTTAATGGTATTTCCGAAGTTTCCTTTAATGCGTTACGAAAATATTGACAAACCTTATATACCCTTTTTACATTTTTTCGTGTAAAGAGTATAAAAAGAGGGGCCCCTTAGTATGTTGGTAGGGGCCCCTTAGTTAGAATTTGCTTACAGGCCTAAAAAATGTAGTTACGCCACTGGTCGAAAAATACATTAAAGATCATGCTCTGAAACTGTTTAATATAATTGACAGTCAGAATAATCCAACTCTCAGCATCCTAAAAATACAGCGTAATTTGATAAACACAGGTAAATACAAAGACATCAGATCCATCCTATTATAAAGCCCCGTATTCAGTTATTCTTAGTGTGACTTAAAACTGTCCACAGATAAAATAGAGTAAAGGTGCTGATTCACCAACTCAGACATCTGAATATCAATATTAAAAAAAGCAATATATAAATAAATACAAAATAATCTTTAAAATGAAAGCAAATACTGCTCATTTAACATCAACTAATGATGTTAGAGGTTTGAAAATTTTATAAATAAATTTACTTTACAAAAAACTTTTTCGTGAAATTTAGCCGCAAATTTGTTAGGTTAGGCAGTGATGCCAAGTTATTCTTCATCACCAAAGTTGTCCTATTGAAGTATTCATGTCAAAAGAATACACCTAATGTGTGTGAAATAGTGGACAACAAGAACAAAGCAATATTTGAGTAAAAAGTAATGTCGTTCAATGTACCAAAAAAAGTTATTTGAAATAATTCTTCTTCTTCTTCTTGTTCTTGAGTTAGTCCTATTACACACTTTTACTCTATAATGGCTGGGGGGCTTATCACTACCCCACACTAGGCTTTAACTAGGCTAAGGAATCATATCATTTATTTGTCATTTAGTTGATGACGGACCTTAAATCAGCATATCTTCCTGAGAGTCCAGAAGTGGACTTGAGGATTGTTAGGGCGGGGTTAAGTAGCGTATCAAATTTAGTGAATAATTTTAGAGCTCTGTCTCTGATATATTTTTTCACTGAGTCAATCCTAAGATCTCTATGTATGTTTGTTGATCTAATATACCATGGAATCTTAAACAGTCTTCTTAAAGACTGGTTTTGAGCTATCTGTAATTGCTTTAAGGTAGTATTTGAGGCTTTGCTATATGTAACACATCCATACAGTAGTGCTGGTCTAATTACTTGCGTATAAAGTAACGTTCTGTTTTTAAAATTGAAGTGATAATTATTAAATAGCGGTTTTAATAAATGTATAATCTTAGAGCAGCTATTCCGTTTGTATTTCAAATGTTTAAGCCAATTGAACCGTTTGTCAAAAGTGACCCCCAGATATTTCATGTTATTTGAAATAACGAGAAGAAAATAATATAACTTTCGTTAACAATTGTTAGAAACCAAAGGAAGTAAAGGACTTCGGTTAGTACAGCCAGTAAAGATTATTGAATAAATTTTAAAATTAATATTTGTCTTTTCAGAAAAAAACCCAGATTTCTGGAAAGTGCATTACCAGAAAAATTTTTCAAATTTTATATGTATTTTATAAATTTCAATATTTATTTCTTCACATGTTTAATTTAAATTTTTATAAAATTAGATATAAATTAAATTTTATATATGTATATATATATTTTATTTAAATATGTTAATATGTTTTATGTATCTATCACTTAATAAATTAATAAACACAATAACTTTACTAAATACTAATTTTTGTTTGTTTACTTTTTAGATATAAAATATATGACAAATATTTCAAATTTTGGTAATTTCCCTTGTGGGAAATTTATTTTTAAGGGTTGGGCTAATTATCCTTACTTTATTTTTAAGTAAGTTAAAGCTCTTTGTATGGTTAAAGAAATTTACTTAGTAAATTATACCTACTAAGTAAGCAATGGAAACATACTATAAGTTAGCTGTTGTTGCAGTTGTTCTAGCTTAAAAATGATAATGTATTTGATTATCAAGAAAATAGTAACTGTTTGAATTGTACATGTAGTGGCGGTCTATATACTAGTTGTACAATCAGGCACATGTAGGAGTATTTTTACTCGCTTATATTAATAATTATAAAAATTACTTCTTAAAATTTGAGATACTTAAGTTTATATTAATAATTTGTTTATTAGATAAATGAGCATATAAATATCTTATGTATCTAATGTTTAACGTCAATTCAAGAACATCAGCTGTTCAAATATTTCGGCACACCACATGAACACGAACAGTTATGCATTATATAAACACTAAATATATAAATTCGCAATTATTCTAATATAAATAAATTCAAACCAAAAATATTTCATTATTCTTTGAGAAGTTTGTAAATATAACAAACGTTGTAGAACAACGTTTTTGCAGAACAGCACAATGAAAATAATTTTACCATTATTTTATTTAGCAACATTTTGCATAATTGCTAATACACAGATAGGTAAACATTATAAAATTTTAAATCTATTTAAATAACCTATGCATTGTAATATTAATATACCTTATATTGTTGTAAATTTATTCATATAAAGCCATGCGACCCCCACAAAAGTCTATAGTGCCGGCATATTATGATTATTGTTTTACTGGTTGTGATCTTACTTGTCCTCAATTGGTATTTGGAGTAAAATGCGTGTTCAAAAATGGTTGCCGGAGAGGATATTTCTGTGGTTCTGGATATGTGAGAAATGTCAACTCACATAATGAATGTATATCCGAAGACAGGTGCAAGCGTAAGTGAGATAATTTAATTTCCAATAAGAAGATGTAATCAACACAAATTCTTGATTTTTTCATCGCAGTTATGTATTGTAGTGTACAATATAGGAAGAACTATGCTTTTTGTGAAAAGAATTGTCAAAACGTTATACAAAAAACTGAGTGTAAAAATGATTTTAGTAAACCGCGGCGCTCAGGTTACTTCTGTTCTTCTAGCTTTGTGCGACGTACAGATGAACACAGTGAGTGTATACCAGAGAGATTATGTCATGAAGCCTTGCATCATCACGGTTAATTGAAAAATGTTATATAAAAATAAAATTAATACTAATCACAACCATCGTTTTTGCCAAATTAATTCACATTTTTTGATAGGCTTAAGGTCAAAAATAATGTTTTAATGATATTCTTTTGTTGGTAACTATATTTCTAAAAACGCTAACTTCATTTTTAATAAGAACATATACAAAATAAATTATTGGATTATCAGGTATTAATCTAGTCCACTTTATAACTATACCTCGTGACAATTAAGGTATCTTAAATGATTGATTTGAATTATTTCATCAAGTGTCTGATCAACAAATTGACTGATGTACAAAAAGTTTTTACTTAATAAATTAAGACTTTACACCAACAATATTTTCTATTTAGATAGGTGTATTTAACATATAATTAGAAACATAATATAAATATATTTGAATGATATTATATTTATATATATATACCAAAAAAATGATTCATCAGAAAACTATTAATATCTACAAAGCAATTTATCCCATTAGCTTAATTCGTTAATTATCTCCAATCATGTTTCTGTATGTAACTGAGTTCGAATGTTACGATGATTCAAAATTAATTTTCTAAAGCTTTTAATAATTTTTACAGAAAACCTCAATTACTATACTATTTATTGATATTCAGATGTCTGAGTTGGTGAAACAGCACCTTTACTCTATTTTATCTGTGGACAGTTTTAAGTCACACTAAATACGGGGCTTTACGGGGCTTTATAATATGATGGATCTGATGTCTTTGTATCTGCCTGTGTTTATCAAATTTCGCTGTATTTTTAGGATACTGAGAGTTGGATTATTGTGACTGTCAATTGTATTGAACAGTAAATTTTTTTTTGTTAATATTTATAAATGAGTTTCAAACATTTTTTCTACAAAATTTTACATTTTTCATGTACCGTAGTGCTAATATCCGTTTCTGAACCGAGGTAATATCATGTTTCCACTGTTAACTTAGTAAGTTATTTAGGTAATTTTAAGATTTTGTCATTTCCACTGGCATAAGTTACTTATTGCATGGGAAAGCGTCTGAAAGTTCTTTGAGTTGTAAGAGAGCTTCTGCTTTTTTTTAAATAGACTTCACTTAATAATATATCACACACAAAATTAATTATATAAATGAAATATTGAATCATTTATATATATATATCTTACATATCCATCACATATTCAATTAATACGGCAGACGGCTAAAATGCCATAGCTGTAAGCTTTATATATATAATATAATTGTTATTAATTTTTAAGTAATACAACAAATTTAAAATAAAAAATTATTCAATTAATAAAAACCTGAGTTCGGAACGTAGTGCACAAAATAGCACACTGCACTGTGTGCGTGGATTCAAATTTTTAAATATGCACAGGGACTTTTGAGGTGTTAAGCAAAAGAATATGCGCACACACATTTTAGGGTTGTTAAAGGGTAGTTCAATCATATAGCGAAGCATATAAGATGGATCAAGTATGCAGTCTAAACTACTGGAATCATTTATAAGACTGGGCAAATAATTCCAAAAACTTGCAGAAATGCAGGACGAAGGAAAAAGGCGCTCTATACACCAACTAACGAGAGATGCTACAGAGAATATAAAATCATTGTACGAGTTGCCTGTGAGCAGACGGAGGAGGTTGAGGATATTTTTAAGCAAGACTCAATAATTACCATTAATAAACTGGCAGGTGACCAATCAGATGGATTAAGTAGAACAGGCAAATTATTAATCCAACTAGGGAAAAAAGGGTTGCATGGTCAAACACATGTGTTTAAAGACAATATCGACAAAATACTTGGTGACCAAGCAAATATTAAAAGTCTAACACAACGTATTGGCGTCGTTTACAAAGATATCGGTGAAATCACTACGAAAGGGTGATATTGTAGAGGCAATCAATACGCAGTTAGATAAGAATATTACATAATTAGAGATTATTAGCCTATGGCTTGCATATGAAGGCGCGCAAAACGCCACTATCCTTTTACCCGTAAAAAACGCAAAAAAACTTTTAGAGGCAGATAAAATAAAAATATAATGGGTGGTTTGCTGTATTAGACTTCAAAAGACGTTAACCAGATGTTTTAAGTGCTAAGATCATGGACACATAGCTAGACAATGCAAAAGTGAAACATATCGCTCGAAACAATGTAGAAAATGTGGGGTGAAAAACGAGCCATTGTGCATGCTCTGGGAAGACAGAAATCCAAATCAGTGCAAACATGTTGTAGGCAACAAGTCTCGTCTTTAGGAGAGCAGTGATAGACAAAATGCATGAACATAGTGCAAATTAATCTAAATCACTGCAAAGCCATCCAGGATCTTCTGAAACAAATGGTAGAGGAGAAAAAGGTAGACACTGCTTTAATTAGTGAACCGTACAAAAACAAAAATGATAGATCATGGGCAAGCGATAAAACAAATAATGCTGCAATTTGAGGATGAGGCAGGTTTTGTTGTCGCTGGTGTAGTGTCTATTGATATGTTGGTGGACGAAATGCTAAAAGTCTACAGTAAAGGCGGGAAATCTGTGAACAACATAACTCCATCCAAGTTAAAAGGAAGGAGAGAGAGATTTTAGTAGCTGCATGGCAAGGCAAATGGGAAAACTTCATCAAAGGTAGATGGACCTTCTTACTTATACCTCTAATCGATGTATGGTTGAAACGAAATCATGGTGAGACAAACTATCATCTAACGCAGCTTTTAACCGCGCACAAAGGTCACCGAAAATATCTGTTCAGATTTGGGCACGATAATTCCTCTTTCTGTCCAAACTGATTAAATGAAGATATCGAGCACGCAATATTTTACTGCAGCCGATTCAATCCGATTAGTTCATGTTTGCCAGGTCCGGCACATATTAAACGATATATGTTAGCAACAGAGGATAACTGGAATACACCAAGGAGGAATATCGTATCCGTAGAAAATGAATTAAGAAGAATCGAGCGAATAATAAGAAATGCTGAAAACAATGAAGGAGTAGCGTAATAGCTAACCAGTCCCGTAATGTAATACTTAAGACTGGCAACAACTCCTTGGATGCAATCGCAAGATGTGCGTTTTAGCGATTGCACCCAAGGGTGCAAAAAAATTACTTGGATTTCATAATTTTGTTTAAAATAGTAAATATTAGGTCTGTAACATAAGCTACTCGTAGTAACTTTGAGTAACACTGTGTATACAGAAGTGCGTTCTACCAGCAAATTTTCGAGTAAATGACAGCACCTGAGAGAGCGTAACATCCCTGTCGAAAAAGGAAAATGCTAACAGACTTTACTCGTACATTTTATATCAAGTAAGATTTATGTGGATGTGTGAATCAGATGTTTTGGTTTGAGTTCAAACTTTTGAATTGTTAATTTGCACAGCACTGATGTTCTCCCTAGACGTTACACAAAGCTGTTCCATGAAAACCTGTATAAAGAGCGTAATCTAGCTTATTTATGTTACGCTCTCAGTTTATACTTTACTTGTGTTTTACTTGAGTTTTACTACGAGTAGCTCGTGGAACAGACCTATTATTTTATAGTATAGCAAAGAATTGAAAGAATTGATATTTGCGTTCATTGAGATTGTAATGTATGGTATGTTAAAAATTGCATAAATTTAAATATTATATTCAAAGTAATTAGTTTTAAGTATTTATAAATTAAACTGAAAATTACAAATGCCTTAACGTTAGTTGTATTTTAACTTAAAATAGATTTAACATTTTAAATGCAAATTCAGTAAGTGATCTTAAAGTATTTATTTGGGCGGTTTGCACGGGTCATAAAATAGATATTTTTCTTCCTAAAAAATGTATAATTAAAAGAAATAATAAAAAAAATTAATAAAAATAAAATATGTTTCGATAAGAAATTTAAAAATTAAATTATTAAATTATTTTAAGAATTTTGTTAAATTTAAGCTGTAATTGAAGATAAAAAATTAAGCTAAACCTAATAATATAATAAATTTATGTTGCTGTATTAAATATTTGAGTAGTTTTTTATATTTAATATTATGTCAGTACTTATGTAACAAGCAAATAGATAAAAATTCTTAATTAACCTTAATATGTATAGCATTTTATTTTCATATGTCCAAAATTGATATTTTTGATTTTTTTCACTAGACTGTTAAGAAATGCTTCACTTAGCACTGTATTTTTAAAGGACACATCGGTATTGAGCAAAACGAGAAGCCAGATGAACTTGCAAAGCAAGGATCAAGCTATAATTTCTGTAGCCCAGAGCCCAGAATACCACTAAGTTACAATATGATGGCAGCCTATGTCTATAAATGGATAACCTCACTTCATCTTAATAGATGAAGAGAGTTGAGCACTTGTAGATAGACCAAACTCATGTTGCCGAAACCGTGGGCCAGGGAAGCGATAAAAGTGCTTAGCTATTCGCGGAGCACTCTAAGCTAGCTGACCTCACTAATTACTGGACATGGCAACTTCAAGTATCACCTCAAAAAGATAACTCTTGCTAAGGAAGACACTTGCAGACTATGTCTAGAAGAAAAGGAAACAGCGGTGCATATATCGTGCCAATGCCCAGCACTGGCAAGTAGGAGGAAGACTGTCTTGGGACACCATTGGGTTGGTGATGACTTGGCAGGAAACCTCAAGCTAAATGAGCTGCTTGCATTAACAAAAGATGTAGTTATGCGAACGGAAGCCACCCCAGCTTTAACTCAATAACAATATCGAAGGACGAAAAAGTACCCAAGTAATTTCGTGGTCTACTTCGACTAATCCTTCACTTCAGTGGGGTCACTTGTTGGACAGTACGCTGTCGCAACGTCCCACCATATATATAGCACTGTATTCTTTCTTGGCTATTCCATATTTCAATTTATGCGAGTACGTTGAAGCAATTTGAATCAATTGAATTTCAAAGTAATATTAGCAGGACCGATAATCTTTATTTATTGCATTTGGAAACGAAGGCTCTTTCTCTATCAAATGCATGTACCTATTCATAAACTAGTGATATTTTATATTACAATAGAGTTTTCATTAACATAATGAAATTATTTTTTATTTCCTTGCTTTAAATTAATAAACCCTAAATTAAGTAATTTAAGCAATAAATATGCATCAAATAATAAAATCAAATATCAAAATATAAATAGAAAATCACTTCTTCAATGAAATATTTGGCCTTAAGACCAAACATAATGCAAATCAAATGTTTTCCGTACTATTTTGTTATGATATGCGTCATAATATGTTGTGCCTTTTAAATTATCATTTCACACAAATGTGCAGTAGACAATTCGTCTACGCACATTTTATTATTTTATAAAAATGGTTCTAGAAGTCATTATGTGACACAACCTTTTATGGTCTTATAGCCAGCTAAATTTCCAGGAAATATAACTTTACACTTTGGTGCTGTAAACGGCCATGCGATTTCCCACTGCTGCAGTGTTCTTATGTCGGGTTATCTAAAGAACCGTGTTTTATTAGACTATCTGCAAAACGTTAACACAGACGCTTTGATAACGAACATTCGTATAAGCTGACAGGTTATCGAAATTTACTTTAAAAGAATCATGTACTCTAAAAGGTTTCGTAAAGGAGATTTAAATGATGTTGTATACCACACCCAATATCGAAGTCCAAAAAATATATTGTTTACGTTTATTTCGAAGCCACAAAATTGTTCTTCGACATCTTGACGATGTCAATAATTTTTTTTGTGGTCATCTCAAACAATTTAATAGGTTTTTGTCTTGCTTTCTAGAGTCTCTACCTTTACCTAATGGTGGATTCGTTGCCTTTTTCGGCAATGGTCGTATACTGATCTTCTAGTCTATGTACAATCCAACGCTAATCCTTTGGTACCACAACGGGCCATTATTTGAGCTCAAGTGGGCTTTCTTGGTACACAAGGCCGCCACTCCAACCTAATTTAACCAAAACTAAGGTTTCTTATCCTCATATTCTTGTCACTTACTCTTATTAGGCAGTTGACTGAATAGTTTTTTATGTTATAAAATTTTTATCGATTCAGAATTTATCTAAGTAGATAGCATTGCTATGTTTTATGAGTTATGTGTATTACTCACTGTACATTATAATACATTTGTACTATGTACTTATTTGTCACAAAATACTTAAGAAAGCTGAATAGCAAAATTTGCAATGTCTTTTCTTTTAAATTAATTACCTGAATAATGAGAAGCTAAAAACAAACATAACTGAATTATAATTTGATTTTTCAAAATATAATTCAGTTTTGTCTTCCTACAACTTTATATGCAATGTTTTGTTTCGAGTTGAAATGATATTCGATAGTAGCAAATCTAACAAAACAAGAATAAAAAATTAGTCAACTTTTTTAATAAAAACTTGTTAATAATTTTTATATTTATATATATATTATATATATATATATATATTATATATATATATATATTTATACATATATTATTTATATATTAAGTTTCAACTTAAGCTTCTGGTGCTGGCGCTGGTGCCACACTAATAATGGGTTTGATTGGCTTATTGAAACACTGGTATTCGGGGATGCATTCACTATTTGGAGCATCACGCCTAACATGACCATAAGCGCAGAAGTAACCACTTGGGCACTGAAAGTAATTGACTTGTAAGCACTTTGTGCCCTCACGTATATTATCACAGTTGAGTTCGCAGTCTGTATTACAATCGCTCCAGTAAACACTTTGAAGAGGATATGGTAAGATTCGAATTAGATCCTTTAGCGGTGCAACTTGAGCTGCTCCTGTTTGTGCTAAATTGATGAAATAAATAATCAAAAGATGGCATTTTAATCATGAAAAAGACCAAAAACAAATTATTTTTGTTATTCAAAATAAATTTATATAATCAATTTGTTTCAAATTAATTTGAATATGTGTTGTCAAACCTTCATCAGCAGCTAATATGAGATATACCAAATTCATCAAGCAAACAAGTTGAATAAAAAATTTCATCTTAAGGCTTTTAAGCTAAAATTGCAAAATTGTAATATTAATTATTAAATTATTTTTAAAAAATAATGGTACCTTTAATTTTCCGTTGAAATTTATACAAAAATTTAAGTCAACAATAAATATTTAAAAGAAAAAAACCTAAAATATTTAAATATATCTTATCTTTGTTTATTTGCACAGATGTCATTGTTGAAATGATGTTTTTAGAAGTCGAAATATTCTTAATCATAAAAGTCTTAATCAAGGGTAAAAGCATCTGGTCTGAATAAGTATTTTGCAACATTTTTGTATGATTTCTTAACAATAAGAAAGACAAATGACCTCAGCAAAAAGTTCATTTTTTTAAAGGTTCAATGTATATGTTAGACTTCTGAATTAACAAAATTAAAAGTCACAAAATGATGTAGGATTTATTTTTCTACTAAAATTTTTTTTAAATTTTTATTCGAAACATAATAGTTATTAAAAAATGGTCATCAAAATTCATTATATTAAACAAAAAGAATTATTTAAGGTTAATTTTTTCTTGCCAATAGAAATATTTTTTTATTTTATTAACAATTATTATTTACTATTATTATTTTGTCGAAAGTGACGCATAATATGACGAAAAGAAACTATTTAAAAGTTAGAAGGGTGTCGAATGGAAATGAAAAGACAACAGCAAACATTTTAATTAAAGTATTGATGTTTGACTAACCCTACAACGCTGTTTCAAGTATTGTTTCGAATACCCATCATCAGTGGTCTTAGGAAATATTTAAAGTTTTTAATTAATTTATAGTCCGCATATAATTTGATTGGACTGCAAGTGCCATGCCAAGAACTTGTGCCTGTCAAATTAGAAGTAATTGTGTTTTTTTTTCAAGTAGACAGGGCTGCACAAACTTTCAATGCTCAAGTTCTAGGTTTTATGTCACTTATTTATTTAATTAGTGACACTTATCAAAGCACTTGCCGTGCTTTAAATTAGAATGAGCTTATAAACTACAGCTTTATTTGAAAACACAAGTTCAACGAATCGAAAGTTAATTCCTGAGGTCACCTATTTTTATTTCAATGCTATTCTTTCTGCAGAGTCACCTATTATGCATATTTCTACTTACTAAATGCAAAGCGCTTTTTTGGGTGCAATTTTACAAAGCTATGCAAATGTTGCTTTACGAGTTTGCGAATCGTGATTAGGAAAAGCGGACTAAAATTATTGTTCGTCTTTCCTTTAATTCTAATTTTTCAATGTTAATTCTTTTTGCCAAAAAGAAACTATTTAAAGTTAAAAGGGTTCGAATAGAAATAAAAGGACAACCACAAACACTTCAGTTAATTTAATGAAGTAATTAATTAAAATTTTTGTTGTCTTTTGATTCCTATTCGAAGCCTTCAGAAAGCAGTATTTTTGTGATTATAAGTCAAAAAAATTAATTTTATATCAACGTGTAACTCATTTTTGACTACTGTATATGTACTTTCCTTTTATTAAATTTTAAAACATATGACATCTTCAGTGACTACTCCATGAGATATAACATATGTATAGAGTATGCATTCTACATTTACGTTTATTCATTCCAGATTTACAGTTCTAAGAAATTGAAATTTAATGCGTTGACCAAAAAGTATACGCTATTTTTCTGATTTTGACTTTATAGTTTAAAACATATTATTCTTCTGGTAGTTAATTTTCGTTAAGATATTAGTTGACTAATATCTTAATAATACTAATGTATTATTTTGTTGTCAAATCAAATATTCATTCTAATAATTACTTTTGTATATATTGCACAACACATATTGAAAAAATTGCAGGATACAGTGAAATTTCGGGAAGAATTTTATTGCTACTCTTCTTACAGTGATCGATCTGTTAACGAAAAAGTTCTCATAGAAGTATGCATATATCATCGTGTAATCAAGCAGTTCTAGTGTATTCTATATTAGTGTAATCAATTAATTTTGCATTTAAAACGGTTCTTGAGTAATAAGAATCTCTGAATGAGATCTCTGAATGAGAACTCTGAATGCGATGTTAAAATAGCTTAGCTTTTTCCTTCTTCGCGTTTTGGAACACAGGTGTATCACAGGCAATTGTAGGGCGCGTGAGGTAGCCAGAATGGATACTTTTGAATTGCATTAGCAATATAGGTATAGAACAGGTAAGTTCGAGAGTGAAATGATAAACGGTATTCAGAAATCTGTAGTAAAGTTAGTTGCTCTAACATATAAAAATATTAAACTATTCAACTGATACTAGTGTAGTGGTAGTAATACTGACAGTTCGCTGTCGATTAGGTAACCATGCTGACTAAGGACCCATATTCTTCATATTCCAATCCTAGACAACCGAAAGAGAGGACAATTTGTATTTCAGTGCTTTATAATATATTTGAAGTCAAGTTAGTCAATGGTTTGGTAGGATCATTTTTATAATTCAATTTGACCTATATTGCGTTTCAAATAATCATACTCCTATGCGAGAATTTTAATGGTTAAAGTACTTACTCTCTATACGATATATTTTTTAAGAAATCAATGATAATGTGCTTATATGTAGACATTGCAGTATTTACTATTTTTCGATCAAGTCTTTGTTAATGGAGATGCCTCCAAATATTGTAAATTATGGAGTACGCTTATATTACTCTAAAATCTAATATTTTTGAAAATGAGTGGATGAAACTAAATGTATAACTAAGAACATGGATTATACTGCCTAAATTAAGAAATATCTGTATTTTTGTACATCACTGACATCAAGAACAGCATAAATAAGACAAAAACAGGCCTTTGGCTGCTTAAATTAAATGTGGAGATTATCCCAGACATCGCGCCAAATTAAAATCAAATATTTAACTCAAACATTAAGTTCACCATCCTATATGGATGTCAATCATGTAATGCCGCGTCAAATGACATCAACACCCCACAAGTCTCCATTAACCAGTCCTTCCGGAAAGTGTTCTGGCCAAACACGCTATCAAATGAAAGTCTATGGTCCATCACTAACCAAATACCATTTAGGATTGAGATAATAAACTGTAAGTGGGACTGGATACGCCATACTTTGTGCAGATCAATCAATGACACGACAAAAACCGCGATCGAGTGGAAACTCATGAATAGCCGAAGAAAGGGTACACCGACGCACACCTGGAGAAGACAAACGGATACAGAAGTCTTACGTATGTAGAAAAGTTGGAGCTAAAGCTTTTAACTTCGAAATGGTAAAATTTTATTGCGGCCCTATGCTGCTCCTAAGAGTTAAAGGAATTTGTGTATATATATATATTTTTGTACAATACAGATAATATTTTATATAGATAAATCAGTGGAACTGAAAAAAAACTTTCAAAACTAATGTAATTTCGCAATGTCACTGTTAAGCATTTATCTTCTAAGATTTGTAGGTGCATCTGTTTTATTTTTATTGTGCATTAGAACTGATTTTTGTGGAAATATATAGAATTATCATTTTATATCAAATCTCAGAACGGTTACAGGCTCCTCGGAGAGGTATGCAGATCTGAGGTCAATTATTGCTTAGTCTGATGAAGTGATAAACAATAATCTAGTCGAGGCGTAAAGAGGGGTTTTGTTAAGAAAGAGTTAAGAAAGAGTAAAAGTGCTTAAGTGCACTGGCTCAAATAGCTTCAACATAATAACATAATAATGAATGTTTTTTTCCTACATTAATCACAAAAATCATGGAGCTAGTGTCAGGTTTATTTTTTAGTCCATTCACATTAAGCAATGCATTTCATATGTATTTTATGCAGGACTCCATAAAGTTCATAAAGAATTTAGTCAATATTATCAAGTTATTCTGATCAAATAAAAAATATATATGAGCTGGGAGTTGCGTGTATCTCCCAATATCACTTTAAGTAATTTGAAACTTCTCGAAATAGTCTATATAATTATGTTGTTTTGATATGTTATAGGGATGCATACATAGTGATGTATACATATATGATATAGTACCATATAAATTGTTGATTACAAAAAAACTTTTGAAGTAAAAAATGTTGTTGTTTTCAATAGCATTTTAAAATCAGACTCGTTTTGAGTTTTCGCCGATCACCGAAAATTGTTGAAATACTCGAAAACAGTTTCTTCAAAAATAATAGTTTTTTTTTTGTACTTGAATAAAGTAAAAGTCATCTTTATACCACAACACATCATTTACTATACACATTAAAAATAATTTATCAATTGTACTTTGTGCATTTATTAAAATTTGATTACAAGTTAATGAATTTTCTTATTGCTCTGATAATGGAACCTATTGGATTTCATTTAGATTGTTTTATTAGATTCAACTGGGTCATCAATATCAATTACAATAACATCATCATCATTCAGCTCATCAACAACGTCAACGTCACTAGCTTCGGCATCTGCACCATCTTCCTCAACATTCTCATCATCCTCGTCATCGTCATCATTCTCATCATCGACTTCATTATCACCTTCATTTGGTTCGTCAGCTGCACTATTTTCTTCTTCTTTAGGTAATTGTGGAAATGGTACTGGTCTTGCAATCAACCAGATTGGAACTCTACGTTCAAGTGTTTGGGGTGCTTCATTAACGGCAGATTTGGATTTTTTTACTGCAGCTTGAGCATTAGCTGCAAAATTTAATTTTTAAGTTTTAGTTTAATTTCTACATTTTTTTCAAAAAAATTGAAAGCACTACCTGCAGCTAAGATTGCCACTAAAACAAATAATACACTGCAAAAAAATTTCATTTTGTGTTTTTTTTTTGTACTAAGACACTTTTAATTTTATATTAATCTTAATTGTTAATTGTTAATCTATTGTTTCTAGACTGCTTTGTTAGGGAATATGAAGTGTGGTTTTATAGTAAACATATTTGTATTTAGTCGGATATCTATTAATTATTTTAAAATTAAAAATATTAAAAATATAAATAAATGTATAAATATTTGTACAATATTAATTTTAATACTTTTTTGTTATTATAATACTTTTTATTCTTATAGGGAAATTCGTGCGTCTGTTTTATTTTTTTGCTTAAAGAACTAAATAATATCTAGCATTTGTCAAACTCGTCAACACTTCTCTAAAAACACAACTGTCAAAATATTTGAAATCTTATAACAGCCAAAATACTGAATAGGAAAATTTACAATAAATTGAGGTAAATAAATGATCATTATTGTGTGTGTGTGAGTGAATATTATAATATATATATGTATATATTAAAGACGTAAGTTATGTACGCAAAAGTACGATGTTCGGTCTTGAAGAATATTTGAATATTGATTCCAGTAATGATTCACATTATTTATTTGTTGATGATTTATTTCATATAGCAAAAATAATTTTTTTTATGCAAATAAAGAAAAGTAAATTAATAATATTGGATCAACAAATAACTGATGTCAGGCTTTAAAATTATTAGTCCAGAACTTCTACTCAAAACTTAATCGTTCTTTATTATTTAATACAAACGTTCTGGCAGTAGACAAAACAGTTACGGAAAAAAAACAACACAAAACATTATTTAAATATTTATTAAAATATTTTGCAAATTATGGAGTGTGTATAAATACTCGTATGTATGTTGTATCGGTACTTATGGAAGAGGTATAATGCCGAGGGCCTTAGCAACCTAATGAACATATATGAAGACAATGAATTAAGACCAGCATATAAAACAAATAATGATAAGGTAAAGTCATGATATTATAATGCGCAATTATGTCAGCTAAAATGGGGCTTTGATATACAAAGATACCACTCCAACCTAACCTAACAAATTGAACTCTACTTACTAAAAAACTTTCGCAGAAATTAATAAAGATGATCGTTGAATATATTCAATTATATATCCACGTATTTACCTTAATTTAAAAGATTAGCATTTAGGTGTAGTAATTCAATCACAACTACCAGGTACTAAGCACAACAGAAAGCAGTACTTTAATTTGGAGATATCAGGACTCGTGGTCTATTATCTTGATAAGTTGAATATTTTAAGCCTAAATAATCTTGTATAGTAAACCCATCATACGGGTTTCTCGTCAAGTTGAAATAATCTGCAACGAAAGAAAAAAAAATTGCCAATGAAGGTCAGTCTTGTAGCTTGTAAGCTTAAAATAATTCTACGGATTAGAATCGGACAAAATATTTTAATTCATTTAGAATGAATTAGAGAAACCGTGTAAGATATACATTAAGACCGAAAAGTTTTCGGAAATTCTCATTTAAAATTCGCGCGCTGTATATTTTTCGATATTTTAAGTTTATGTAGTTTGGCAGCAATTAAGGACAATTACTATGCAAAAAATGAGAGCGATCTGTCAGACAGTTCGTTTACGGCAGCTGTTGAAACCAGTTCACCTCAGTAGTGCGTTGCGAAAAAAACAATGGAAAAAAATATTGAACAAAGAGTTTGCATCAAATTTTGTGTTTCGAACGAAATTTCGTGTGCAGAATCGTTGCGAATGCTACAAAAGGCTTATGGGGAATCAGTTTTATCGAAAACTCAAGTTTATGAGTGGTACAAAGCCTTTCAGGACGGTCGTACGACCGTCGAAGACATTTCGCAACGCACTACTGAGGTGAACTGGTTTCAACAGCTGCCGTAAACGAACTGTCTGACAGATCGCGCTCATTTTTGTCATATTAATTAAGGACAGTGCTGCCAAACTACATAAACTTAAAATATCGAAAAATATACAGCGCGCGAATTTTAAATGAGAATTTCCGAAAACTTTTCAGTCTTAATGTACAAAAACAATTGATCAGAGTTTTGCAATGTAAATTGCTTATAAGAACTTTTAACCTAAATTGCTTCAAGAATTAATTCAAAATGAATAAAAATAATTTAAAAATTATTTAAAAGGATTCTGACAAGAAAAAGTGGGTTGAATTCTCATGGAGAAAAGCATTTAAACTCAAAACACATGCTGAGAACTTGGCTGATACTGATGTTCAAATCCAAAATGGTACTTAACATATGAGAACAATATATATTCGATGAAGATATAGTATTCGATAAGACACGCTCAGTACTGCAAGGATTAAACTAATTGGATTCAGCAAATCACTTCGAATTCATAACGAAGCACAATGGCAACTAAGGTCGTAATACGAGATTTAAAATTATAAGACTTGAAGTAGTATATTATAAATAAATAAATATGGTTGACTGCTATTATCTGCAGATTGACATTGATTGCAAATGACATTTTCGGTGACGAGTTTTCTTTTAATTAAACTGGATAATAACTACTCTGTGGTTTTGTACCTAAGTTAACTCTGTAAATACGAGGGCGGTTTGATAAGTCAGTGATTTTTTGAATAAAACCAATTTTTTTTGGCAAATAAACATTTTATTGTTCTACATAATCACTTTTTAGTTCGATACATTTAGTCCAGCGTTTTTCTAATTTTCTTATTCCCTCCAAATGATAGGTTTTCTCAAAGCTCTCAAAATACGCTTTTGTTTCGGTAATGACTTCTTCATTCGATTCATATCTCTTACCGCCCAGCTATTTCTTTAGGTTTGGAAACAGAAAAAAATCGCAGGAGGTTAAATCTGGAGAACATGCTAGATGGGATAGCAGTTCGTATCCCAATTCGTGGATTTGGGATCGTAATGCTTAATCAGCACACGAAATTCACTTTTTTCCATTTTCGTAAAAATTCACGAAGTTGTCTGCTTTGAACGGCTATCAAACACCAACTGAACGACGTAGCTTGCTCAAAATTAAAAAGTTGCTCACTGGTAGATTACAGCTGACGGCAGCACTGTTGTATTTGGAGTAACTGCGCGGAAAATTCAAAAAGTCACTGACTTATCAAACAGCCCTTGTATATATAAGGCATAACGCTTTTCAAAATACGTGGTTTTTACGTGGTTACTATAGAGTAATTATATATTTAACATTATAAACACTTATCGTAATAACACGCAGTAAAAAGAAAAAAAAATGTTATATATAATTTTTAGTTCCAATTCCGTCTGTCTCTCCTTAAATTAATCACTATGATGCTTTTTAATGGATATAATGTATAATTTGATGGACGTTATAATACAATATTAAATACATTAAGTATTATTTATCTACATCAATACACAGGCAACTTGGAGTCCATTCCAATTCAAGATATTCGAAGAATACTTTTAATAAGACCTTGATTTATTAACGCATTCTTATCGGTTTCCTTTTGCACAGTATCCGCTTGTATAGACCCAAGTCTCTAATATAGTTATTATGCATCTTATCTTATTCTGAGAGTCAAAAGCAGTTCATGTTTATGGAAAACATTGAGCGTTTGGGACCAAACGAAGTTACACTCCTTTCAAGCTGATCTTGACTGATGCAATTTTAAATTCAAGATTTTTGAACTTCAAATCTTTGATTTTCTCGATGTGTTGTTCGTGTCAAATTGATGGTGGTGGTTGTTCAAGTCGATTTTCATCGTCAACACTTCTTCTGTCCTCTTTTAATTGTTTACACTATTAAAAGTTTTTGCTCAACAAAATCAAAATTTATGATGCTGCCGAATTCACTTTCAGACATTTACAAAAACAGATGGAAACTCAGATAGTGACATAAAATTTGATACAAAAATCAGTATTAACTTAAATCGAATTATAGCATTGACAGACGGGAGCTAAATTATCGTTAAGGGGCTAAATTATAATTTATTTGCTCATTTAGCAGTTTTAAATGATCATTTATGGTCTTTAAATGACCGAATTTATTCGTCATTTAGGTTTTTAGAAATGGTAATGGTGCATATGCAAGTAAAACCAACTAAAATATGGAACAAATTTCAAGCTATTTGGTTTCAAGCTAACATATTTGCAAACATTGGTAAATGTAAGTACTTGTTATATTTTTATATATTTTTATATATTTTATATTTTTTTATATATTTTATATTTAATTAAAGCAAGTTTCTTTAATTTTTCTTGTTTATCCATTTTGAATATAAAATTCTCTTGCTTTTTCAATAACAAAAAACATACAGCAACTTCTTAATGATAATTTATACCGTCAGGGTATTTTTAAAATGATCATTTAAGGGTGCTTAATGATAATTTAGTCAATGCTATTAAGCTTGATTGGAAAAAATTAACTATTTGTTTCTTCAGATTTCTTTTTACAAGCACTGAAATTAGCCAAAAAAAAAATTGTTGCTACAAATAATTTTGGTTGATAATTCTCAACAGTGCATTCTCAAGCATTACTCATAAAACAGATAATCTGTTTAAATCATATTTACATATTTCACAATAAAAGTGTACTTAGTATTTGGGCAGCAAACTTTTTAATACAACCGTTAAACTAAACACAAATAAACATTCAATAGGGTACTGATTTGTATAGCTTTTAAGGTACTTATCTAAGTAAATAATTATATTAACATTAACTATTGTATTCACATTTGAATATTGCAAACGAAAATATTGTTATAGACTAAAAAAGCTTAACATAATGAGAATTATAACTTAAATTTGTATTAACTAAAAATAGTACACAAATTTTTAATATATTCTGAGTATGTGTATTAAAAAGGAGTACACCCATATATTTAACAGTAGATCTCTCTGTTTGAAGAGCCTACAAAAATTCTTGTTTCAATATTATAAACGAAAAGAAAACAGATTTTGAATTTTATTTCATTAAATTATTATTTCTAGGCATAGGGTTGTAACAATTTGTTTAAGATACAAAATTTACAGTTTCCATATACTTATATAAATTATCAATCGAGTTCTTTAATATTATTTCGAGTATTGAATACTG